AATAGCTCATTCAAGTGACCAACAGCACCTCTGGTAGCGAAAAGCTACAGGAGACCAACAGCTACCAAGTCTTTCCTTTCCCTTCCTATTCTTGTGACTAAGGGAAAATGTACAAAATGAGACTCAAGCTCCTACAAGCACCATAGGGTTCTGCCCTTGATGCCCTGCAAATCCTGAGATATGGAAAGGACAATTGGTATTAAGATGTCTTAAAGAACACAAGAAAAGAGAAAAATATAAAGAGAAAACATGCGAACACTTTTTCTGCAGAGCACACGGTGCACAAGTCCATGGCAGTTCACCAATCCACATAGCTCATCCTTTGAGAACTCACCTAAAATAACTTAGGCTTATGTGACGTTAAATGTACCTACAGCACAAATCCTTATTGCTGAGATAGGATAGATTTTGCCACCACAGGCATAAACATTTCTGTGTTCTTTCTGTCATGTTGGACTGATGAGGAGTTGCTCTGATCTGCTCAATGACCTTCACTGAAGAAAGCTGACTCTGAATTGCATGGGGGAATTAGCATTCCCTACCAGTTGCAAGCAATGCATGTGCAAAGAAAAAAAATTCTTTAAAAAATGATTATCATAATTTAAAAGAATCAGTAGTTCTGCAGCAATTTTTTGCTCAGTAACAAGATGGCATGTGAGCAAGTAGTGGAGTTCAGCAGCAAGACTTGGTCATGACAGTTACCAATCCACTTGCCTCTTGTACCAGGCAAGGTTGAGGAGCTCAAGTAGCAAAGAACAGGAAAAATATTTTCAAATGTTTGGGCAATAGATTGTTCAAAGTGCATTTGAACAAAATGCACTTGCTCCCACTGCAAGCACAACTCCCACAGACACAAAATACAGTCTTTTTTTTTTTTTTCCTCCTGTATTCAGCAGTGTATTTAACCTTGGAGCTGTCAAGCTCCATCATGAATAATGAGCCATGACAACATTCCAAGTGATCCTTGGAGAACACACCAATTTTTCCTATATGCTATGCAAGGCAAAATGCTTATATTCCCATGGTACAGTACCTGCTTTGAAAATATACAGTAATGTGGCCATCAAGAGGAGACCACAAGTAAATACACAAAAAAAAAAAAAAGACATTTATTTCCTGATATTTTAGCACCTAGAAACAGCAAGAACAATAAAACACATAATATCCCAAGGGTTCCTCTTTAAAATTATACTGGGATTGAGGATATTTGAATATGCATTTCACATAACCATTTCACAACCAAGGAACATCTGCATTTGAAACAACCCATGACAGCTACAGCATGAAGAGAGAACACCCTGCAGGTTTCACAGCACTGTGACCTCTAGAAAAAGAGCACCAATGAGGGACATGGGGGTGCCCTCCACCCCGAGCAACCCCCAACGCTGTCGTAACACATTCCCCACCCCACACACACAGCACTGCCAGAAAGTGTAGAAAAAAATGTAGTTATCTGAATGCCTGACTGAAGCTCCTCTACACCAACACCCTAAGGTGTTGACCCCAAGGCAGGTCTTTCAGAAGGCACAGCACAAATAACCAAGCAATAGCAAGAGTCATTTCTGCTGTTCGTCACTCAAGGGGAGGAGGAAGACAAAGATTCAACTAAAGAAAGGAAAAACTAGGAAGAAACAAGCTGAAGACTTAAACAGGCATTCCCTTGTCTCTTAAACAACAATGGAGGGTTATGGTTGCCTTGACAAAAATCTTCCCTCATTCAATAAATGCTAATGCATTAACATTAACCTGGAAGACACCATGTTCTCTAGCAGCTCAAGCAGCATGCATTTGTCCTGTGTTTCTGCAAGGTGAAAAAACAATTATATCCTTGTTTCTGAGCTGTTTGCAACAAGGTATTTGTCCATGGCTTTGTAGGGGCGACAAGCTTGCCTTTATTTCTGCGTCATTTCCTAGTCTTGTTGCCGCAACTAAATACCCGGTGCACCCTTTTTCCCTCTCTGTAGGGGCACTACTTTACTTATAATTCAGTTTCAGTGACTTTCTTAAACTACAGGAGCTTTCAAAAAGCTCTGTAGAGCAGGAAAGAAACAATGTCAAACTTGTGATGCTTGTCTTTGCTTAAAGTTGTGAAGTTTCCAGTGTCAGACAGCAGAAAGCAGTTCTGAGCACTTAGAGGAGTTTTAAGTGCTAACACCTCTCCCTCCCACCAAAAGGCCTTTGCTCAAGACTAGATGATTCTTAAAGAGCTGGAGTCAGGAAATCTCTTTTTGTTTCTTGACTATTGTTGAAGCTGGAGAGTAGACTCTATCACCAAAGCAGCAGCTACACATGATAATGTACTTATTGGCAATTTAATTTTCCCCTTGGGAATTTAGCCACACATACCCCTCCCTCCACCTTCTCTCCCTCCCCTCTACTCACCTCTTCCACGTCCAGGGCATTTCACAGCTATTCTCATCACATTAGGTCTACCCTTGCTCTGCAGTGCTACCAAATGAGCAAGACCTGCGTTGTCACCACACACAGTACTACCATCATCTCTGATTCAAAACAGTTCTGCTCTTAACAGAGGACTCACTCTGTACTCAGATTCATTCCCCAAATTACAGGATCAGTAATTTTCTCTCTAGCATTACTGTTAAAATGCCCTCAGCCCTCCCCATGCACCATGTTCATTGCTCCCATTCCCTGATAATACACGGCCATTTACACCCCACATCACGGCACATTTAGCAATTCCATTCCCTGCTAGCAATATTTGGCAATAAGATCCCTTCAAAGAAGGCTAATTACAGATTTCCTTCTAACAGAAATTGCTACTGGGCCTATCTGCAAGCTCTTTAACAAGCTCTCAAACTTCACGCCACAGAAGACTTTGTTCTCCACCAGAAGCAGCAACATAGCTCTAAAGGCAAAGGTGGAAAGCTTTGCCACTGCAAGATGAAGAAGGAAGGTCACAGTTCTGATTCTCCTTGCAGCTCTGCACCTTCTCCATGCACGTCTTATCTTGAAGATACACTGCCTGTGTTTCACCAAAGGAAAACTTAGGGAGCCAGTTTAGCTGCCATGAAAATAATGAAAAGCAGTCACAAAAAAAAAAACCTCAGTTGATAGTTGTATCAGAAGTGGAACAAAGACCAGCATGACAGGAAACAGGTCAAGGACTCAAAAGCTAGGAATTTATAAAATTCAGGCCTGGTTGCATGCATGCATGCATGAAGCATGTCATTTTCTGAGAACAACAGTGCCAAGGCAGACTTCTAGTTTTCAAAGGGATGGAAGAACTCAAGTCATTCTCTCAAGCACCTCGGCATCCAGTCCCATACCAGGACCAATGTTTTCTGCCTGTTTATGTCAGGCTTAGCACAGAAAACAACAATCCCACCTGTGAATTCTCCTTATCACTTTTTCTCTCTCTGCCCACAACATCTGGAGAAATAATGTTTCAGCCAGACCACTCACCTGAGGGGAATTAATGCAAGATTCTGCAAACCACCCTCTGTGCTAACCCCTGCTTGATAACTAGGGTGGAACTGAAAAGGGTGAAAGAAGGAAGTGATCATCAAGAGACAACTGGTCCCGTTTTAAGGATTCAAGACTAGTGCCCAGGAAAACCACACAAAGCTTTCTGTGTGAGAATCAGCACAACTCATGGCTTTTCCCTGTGGTCAACAACTATATGGCATCACATGGAGATGTCACACCTGATACACTGAAATACTGCTGTCAGACTGGCTGACTGCCTAGAGGATCCCAGTGGGAATCTGTGGTAACCATGCACACTGAGTACACAGCTGTTGGGAAGTCTCCAACTGTGAGCTCAACCCACAGGCACTTAAAAAAGAAGAGTTATGAGTGTTACACATGTAAAGCACACACATTAATAATGTCTATTTGACAGAGATTAAACACATAAATATCTACTACAGCCTCAGATTTTAACACACCTAAAGGTTTACCCTGTCAGGAGATGACACACTAAAAGTATGACTTGTGACAGCAGCAGACTCTTCTCCTATACACAGGCAGGCTTTTAAGAGGCCAACAGAATCACTCTTGCAGAAGTGCTACACCCTACCCCCTAGACATTATATTTTCATCTTGGGGACATGTTTGGGGGCAGGAAAACAGAGTCATAGTAAAACTGCAAAGCATTAGTTTGGAGGGGCAAACCACAAATCTGACCACTGCCCAATTCCTAAAAGCCAAGAGTATAAAAGTGAGAGGAAAGGAGCTGTCTTCTTCCACACTTATTCTCTGAAGTAACCATATAGATTTCAGTGAAATATTTGCAGACCCTTCCAACTGAAGATAGACCTAGTGGGATGAATTTACCTTAGAACCTCAAGATTATCAAAATATGAGTACCTGAACACAGACTACCACAAAAGGAAACAATAAGAAACCCAACATGCATTAATAGATGCTCTAATTATTAATGTGCACACATACAAAATTTATCAGAAGTGTCAAGGCATTTGAAAGAAAAAGCATAATTGAAAGATAGATATTTGCCAGCAGCTGTATCACCACCATCTTCTCTAGCTGATTTTGATTGAACTCAGTGGACATCAACTTAATCAATCCCACAGGACAGTATCATTCACTTCTGTAATAGCTGCTGACCTTATTTCTGTGAGCCCTGTTGTAGTGTCATGACTAAATGCGGCAAGCAACAAATCTCACTCTGTCAGCAGCCAGTGCCTGTCCTTTCTCCTTTTGAGAATTCCACTCATTTCTGCATTTTTTTTTCAGTCATGCTGCTTCAAAACAGCTGATCCAGATGGTGGGTATTTGGATTTCAACCTTCCCACATGGTGATGTGGCTCAAGAAAACAAAAACTGTTGCTACCTGCTGCTGACCTGCTTTAATTTGTTTCCTACCACATGACAGAATAAACAATATAGGTCATTGAATTAGTTTTCCACACCTACTCACTGCTATGTAGGGGACATAAAACTAATAGAGGAAGAAGGAAAGAAAAAAAAAAAAAAAAGGCAGCATGATCCAGTGGGGAGTAGGGAGGAGCAATTCTCACCTCTATCATAGTCATCTTCCTCTATTGCTTTTTCCTGAAGCCTCTGAAGACGTAAGATCAAGGATTTTAACTATGTAAAGAAAAAAAAAGTTAGTTATGAAGAAGCTGCATTTAAAAATAAATAGACTATTAACTTCTAGGCAATATAAATTTAATGGATTACTACATCACTACAGTGGTCAAATTTTAATAGTTAAGCCCAGTATTTGTTAAGTAGACAGACCTATTTGGAAGTCAGCTGAACTGCAGCTACCTGAGCCAAGCATGGCTTTAGTCCAAACACACACAGAGAATAACAAACGATATTTCTTGAAAAGCAAAGGAGATCGTGCGATTGCAGGATATTTTTCACCCTTTGAATAAATGAAAGTACAATTACTAGAGGATTCTGTCAGCATGAAATCTACTTCTGATCACATTGTACTCAACAGCATGTTCCCAAGCTCATTCTGACAATTTTTTACCTGAGTTTTGCAGAGAACAAATATAAAATTTCCATATGCAAACCACATTTTATTCTGTAAACAGAAATGCAGTATGAGTATTTTGGAACATATTTACTCATGTTATGGGTCAGAAAAAAGTGCTCATATGCAACCAAAAAAGTTTCATTAAAATACAATTTAGGCTTATCTTCATAATGTTGATATTTGCATTTTCACAATGCAAATGCTAGATGAGGAAAAAAAGCAGAACACCAAGAATACCCCAACCACATACAGAGTACTCTCACATTTCAAAAGAAACTTACCATCATAAAGTTTTATTTCAAAAGTTAACACTTCTCTTTGTTAACATCAAGAGTCTGGACCAAAGTTTTAAATTTACCAAAAATTTCTAAGGCCATTACAAGTTTTTGCTGTTAAAAGAAATTGGTTAGAAGGTAGGTTTAGTCCTCTCCTTACTGCCATGACAGCCACAGCCTAACATGGCTACAGATACAAGACTGAAATGTATTTCTTATTAAATTTATGCGTGACCTGTACCAAATAAGCCACTATCAGACCTGAAAATGGTGAGCCTGAAGAAAGAAGCACTGTATATTCTCAAAGCCCAAAGCCTGAAAGTGCTTGGGAGAGGACTAAAATCCACACTTTAGAAATCCTGCACTTAAAAATATTTCCCTTCTTCCCGAAGCTCTTTCATATTTAATCCTCATATGTAAACTCTAAGTTGCATGCAGAAAAATAGGTACAGCCAGTCAACAGCTTAATAGAAGCACTCAGTTATCAAGACTACACATCAACTCACAAATCTTTAAATTCAGGATTTCCCTCTGAATATGGTATGTGAAAGTGGACTAGTAAGAAAAGAACTGTAAAAATAAAGCCAGGAAAGCATCCAAAAATGTTTGATTAATAATAGGCTACAGGATGCTCCAGAAGAAAAACAAATAAAAAACATTGCATACATTCCCATTTCTTCTGTGTTTTACTTTATTTTGGTTTTCACTTCCTGGAATTCCAATCTTTTTTCTCTGAGGCTAGTGAGGAATATGAATGGTACTGAAGGGAGGAGCTCTGAATCGTCACCTTAAATTATTTTCTGTGTTTTATGCCTGACTTTTTAGTGTTTTAAAGAAGCCTGCAATAGTAATGATTCCAGTGACACTTTTTTCATATACATGATGTACAACAACCATCTATACTGAGAGTACAGCTTTGCTGCTGCTGGCAGTGTTTATTCCATCATGCACTACAGTGGCAGGTCATTTAAAGTCTGCTTGGGTACCACAGCCCAGGCACGCCCACGGCAAACTGACTGATGCTGCCACTGTAAAGTGCTTTCTGTTCACAGGCTGGGGAGACATTCAGAGCTCAACTAATCAAAGACCTGCTTCTGCTACAGCATGGCATGTCCTAGATGTGTACCAGAGGAAGATCACTTTTTATGTACAGAAAAAGCATAATTTTAACAACTTTGGTATTGTCTCCTTTTCTTGACTACCGTTGCCTTTGTTCCTTTTTGAAAACTTTGGGACTTGCTCATTATCATTACAATAGGAAGGTGTTTCAAATTAAACATACACAACTGGCTAACCAAGGGCAAAGACATCTGAGGGCACAAATCCCCAATTCTCCATTCAATGAATTAATGAATACAGAAATTAAAGATAGCAATGTTTCTTTCGTGCCTATCAAATAAGCAATACTGAAAAGAAAGAAAAATAATTTCCTATTTTGATTGTATTACATATTCCCAAATTTGCAGCAAATTAATTTCCCAAACCATCTCAGACTATAGGCAAATGGCAATTCCAGGCATGAAACCACAGAAACTGCTCCATGTCAATGTGTGTGATAAGAGAACCTAGTTTGAGTTCTACAAACATTATCTATGAAGAGAAAGTACTACAGAGCACTGTAAGCCCAGGTCAGATGTCATGGAAAGCAAAGAAAGAATAAATGTTTCTCAGCCTTCTATCTTACCCAGACAGAAGGTTTGTGCAAAGTCGCCCCAGAGCAGATTGTTTCATTAAGCCTAAAGACAATACAGCACATCTCACCAGGTATGTGTCTCAGCTGAGAAGTTACAAAGATCTGAGTTTCCAAAAGGCAACTAAGAAACTTGAGCACAAGTGAGACAATTAAAATAAAATTAAACAAACAAAAAACCCAACACACACACAAAAAACCCAAACAAACAAACAAAAACAACACTCAAAAATAAACCCAAATAAAACACTCACTACCCACTCAGTGGGCCTTAGACAAGTTATTGCAATCCACTGTGTCCATATTATTCTCTGGATTATTGTTTCCTGTGCACAATAAAGTCAATACTTGGCTCCTTTGATCAGGTAAGCTCAGAATGCCCAACCTATCATCATAAAAATATAACACAGCAGATCCTTCTTGAAGTTTCCCCACCCATCTCCTATAAAGACCACAGTGAATGATGCTGTATACACTGTAAGTATAAATGTGGGAATATACATATATGCAAAAAGACTCCTGACCCACCAGCCCACTGCTTCTCTGGGGTGGAAGGGGAAAAGAAAAAAAGGTTCAGTTCCCAGCTGGAGATAGAGAGGGACTTGACCCACATTTTTCTTCATGTGGGGAGAGCACCTATTAGATTGCACACTACTTCCACAAAGTTGTCTAATTCTTAGAAACCTTTGGCTCAACTTAAACGTTACCAATTAAAAACTTCAGTGTTGTTAAATCATGATACTTCAAGAAAAGAGTTCTTATCACCCCCTAATTTTATACTACATATAACCCAAACTGCAGACAAAACAGCCACCTGTGAAAAGAAATGGTACTTACGGAAGTCAGAAACTGATGTGTGATGTTTGAAATGAGAGGATTAAAGCTTCAGTAGAATATAGAATAGGGTTCTACAACAATATCACCTATTTTTAAAGAACCAAACAAAACCTGTTATCTCATTTTTATCGTGCAGAGCTCTACTGTAGAACTCTGAACAAAGGCCACAAAAGCCAGGAGCATCTGAACTCCTACATAAACTTTGATTTTGGCACTATAAATAAAAATGTTTTGAGGAAGAGGTATCAGAAACAAAGTGAGATTACTGACCTTTAACGTACTGCGGTTGCTAAGCAAGCAATCCTGTAGCACTGGTTCATATTTTCTCATCAAAGTATCCCAGTTATGGTCACTGACAGTAAAGCTACTTTCATAGCCTGAGGTGACAGAAGAACCAGCAGATGCTGCATCTGAGGAATCTGTAGAATATGAAAATGTTGCATCTATATCCGAGAGAGAGACAGTCTCACAGTCATGTAATTTATCATTTACTGGGCTCTCACGTTCACGCTGCAAATCTTCACTGGACCTGAAGAAGCAACACAAATCTCCCAAGTGCTCATGAGTTTGTGCCATCTCTTCTGGCTTCTGCAGACTGCCTGGGGTTTTGGGTTGCAAAATGATCTCAGCTTCTTCAACAGATTTGCCCTCAACATCAATTACTCCAGAGGCCAAGTTCAGGGAGAGCTGTATGAAGCTGAAACTTGAACTAAAGCTATCATGTGCACCAGCAGAAGGAGAAATACCATCTCTGTTTTGATAGTCACGGTTGTTACTCACTTCTGTCTGATCCAAAGCACACATGTTTGGGGGCTTGCTCAATTTGGTGCTGCAGCTTTTCTGCCATGTACAGCATACAGCAGAAGCATTTCCTTTGCTTGTTGTTGCAGCAGAGCAAACCCCTATCCCTGTGCTCTCCGGGCGTGGACTATTGCAGCGTGAAAGATTTTCACAGCATCCTGGAGTATTTCCAGCAGCGGACAAGGTTGTTACCCCATTAGCAGGAACTACAGCACTACTCACTGCATTACAGCACAGGAATTCCAAGTCATTTTGGCACTGTCTGTGCAGAACACAGTTCTCAGAGCCTCCACAGTGCTGCCTGCCATGCTGGAGCTCTGCTGGGCTGGTCCCTGTGCAGACACCCAGGGACTGAAACTCGATCTGTCGCTGAGCTTCTGGCCTCATGTATCCAGGTCTTTTTGCCAGCTTCTTTTTTCGCAGCGAGCCTGCAGGCATTAATTGCTGGTGATCATCTGGAAGGGGAGAAAAAGTCAGTAAGTGTTTCTGCAGTTTTCCAGGCTTAACATACTGTAGCATCTGAAAATAGTTGTTTCTGAAATTTCAAGCAGCATATCGTTTTCCATCTCAACAAAACACAGACACTGACCATACTGCAGACAGAGAACACAGCATGTATTCGTTCACCTTCTAAAGAGTTTGCACCTGTTTTTAAGTGAACTCACTAACAAGCTCCTCCATCAGGACATAAACCTGGGTATCACATCATCTTCCCTATTCACAGGATCACGCTGCTTTTCCATTCTCAACTTGCTTAACAGCATGCTGAAGCAGAAACTTGGTTTAAGTTTCTCCGATCCAAAATGATTTCAGACTTACAAGCACATCTAAGATAGGAGTGAATCTGCATCCAAAATGTGAGAGCTGTGATCACAAAGTAATTTTGTTCATAACCTGCTGTTGCTGAGTGTTCAGTTTCTTGTGTTCATATCCATGTTTCAACACTATGAGTAGCAAGTGGTTCAGACTCTGCTGCCATAACAGACGCAACTGTAACACCCTGTGGTTGCAGATGTGGATCTAATGAGATATTGTACACGTTGTCACTTAGATTTATGATACTACCTATTGTCCAAAATGTCAAGTTAAAGGAAAAGCTCTGCATGAAGAACCACCAATCCTAGAAAACTATTAATTCGTAGAATTATTGAAGTATTAATGTCATTGAGAAGCAGCCTCTGCTCAGTAACTTGGTTTCCTCACACGGATGAAAATATAAATTTGCTGTTTGCAGAAAACAGGAAAACAGGAAAACAAAAAACCCCACACAAACAAGATAAAAATACCACAGTAAACATTAAAAGTGGGACATCAGAATTTAATGTCTGTGTTTTCTGTATATTTTTATATGTGCATTATCGGCAAAAGATTACATGATGACTACTTTCATTCTCTCATGGATTTACTGCTAGTTAAAAGGTATTTCATTTGTCTGTCCTGCACAATGGGAATCAATGGGAATACAAGCTCTGCACTGTCATCCATTTGGTAACACAAAAAGATATTGACTGGACCTATTTGCCAGAATGAGCCTTCAAGTGGATCTGATGCCTAGCTGAATTATGCCCTCTATTAGCTGCCCTCTACTCACAGAAACAGAATCAACTGGATGTTAGAAATATTCATATCACCCACACAGAGCTCTTACAAAAACACAAGTTTCAGAGTTTTTTCTTTACATTTAACATTCCTCACTATTCTCAACCCTTTGTCAGTTTTTACACTGATATGCACATAATCTAAACTCCTCAGCAGCTCCTTACACAGGCCCCATACACATCTCACTATGACAACGTCCTATACAAGAATTTAAGCATTAGAACTGAAACTTCCCAGGAGAATTTTCCCAACATTCATTATATTCTCTCCAAATAACCTTCAACAAAAGCAATTTATACATTTTCCATATACTAGAATAGTGGCACATCTCACCATGGGACTGCAGTTAAGTTTCTGTATTCTGCTTCCTATCACCATAAATTAGAATATCCCAGCAGTCTCCTACATTTTCTTTTGTTTGAGGAAAAAAAAGCATCACAGAAATCAGAAGTAAAAAAGGTCACGGAGTCCATCAGCCTGTCTACTATAAGAAGACAGTGAAATGCTGTACTGGGAGTAATTTAACAGAAGTCTTAACAAACAGGAATCACTCTCAGAGCAAGAAAACAAGAACTGAACGTCCTTTAAAATTTAATTCTTTTTGTTTATATAAAAAAAAATAGCCTAAATTTTACTTCAGCAGAAGAAATCAGGCATGCATAAAAGAGTCATTCTAAGGATGCATATACTCCATGGCCGTTTAAAAAGGCCTGTCACAGGGCTCATCTGTTAAAACACAAAAGGTTCTCTGGTTTAATTAAAATCAGTTTAAAATTGATCTCACTAAATCACTATGAATTTCTAAAGTAGACAGATAATTACAGCTCTTTAAACACCAAATTTAAACTAAGCTAATGTAAATAAGGTTTAAATTGGCCAAAGCATTTGATATTCATACCAAGTGAACTGGATGCAATCCTAAAAATTATTGAAGCCAAAGGGGCTCTGTACAATTCCAGTGTCCTGAAGGAGCCCATGCATCTCCGCGCTCCTCACAAGGTTCACAGGTAGCCCTCTAGACAAGTTTGGCATTCAGTTCCTCTGTAGACTCCAGGTCTACCTCCTGGTGAGCCCATCCAGCAGCACACACCGCTCACTTGGCTACCAGAACAGAGCACTGCCCAAGTTATACTCGGAATTAGAGTTGGGCCAAGCCATGAGCCATCCAGAGGGGAGACACCTGCAGATCCTTTGTCCCAATGTGCCTGCCCCTGAGAGCAAGGCAGGGTGGACAGAGCTGGGACCAACATGAACACAGACACACCTTCCCTAAAGGATAAGGGGAAGCCTGGTCTCCAGGTCCAGCTAGAGAGCACTCACAGTGCCCTCAGCCATCACAAAACCCAGCCAGGAAGTTACTATTGCCTTGGGTGTACTGTTTGGGCACTGTTTACCTTTGTGCCACATCCCCGTTATCAACATTAGAATAATTTCAGCTGTTTATTATTACATATCTGAAATACCGCTACATAAACCTTCTCTGCACAGCCTTCCAACCATAGCTTGCCTTGTCTGCATGTCAGAGAAATTACACTGAACCGATTCAGCTGGCTTGTTAAAAAAAACAAAAAACCAGGCCTTAAATTTTTCTCATCTTACCTCAGTTTGAAGAACATCAAATAATTGCTGGCAATTAACTACAAAATTATCAGAATAAAAACAACCTAAGGCAATTTTAAGACCCTACGCTACAGTGTGTCATGCATTGTATGAGACACATTTAGAAAGAGAGAAAAGCCACAAATGGAAGAGCCTTTCAATTGTAATATTAAAAATCAAATTTTTAAAATATATATTTTACAATCTTAGAAGATAATGTAGCATATTTAACGGCAAATACATACAAATTACTTCAAATTTAATTATGAAAGCTCAGAAATATTCTTAACAGCTCTTTCAACATAGTATGATGATGATCATTGATGATCAACATTTCATGTAAAATGTCAGCTGAGATTCAAAGCAGAGGGAAAAATAAAATAGTCTATTGCTGTAAAACAATGCTGTTCACATCTTAGCTGCACCAGTGAGATGAAAGAGGGAGAGGTGAAGCCTAAAAGCATTTCACACTGATGGAAAAAGCACATTCTCTCGTACCCAGCCTGACACTAAAGGACAGCAAAACAGACATCTAATTTATTTTAGATCATCAGTCTTTGTTTTCAGCCACAAAAGTGGCAGTTCAGGTTTTCTGACCAAATGTTCTAATAGCATCTGTGGATGAAAAGGTGCAAATACTTTGTATGTTTGCTATTCCAATAGAATTTTACAGATCAGTACAGAAACTCTGAAGTGATCACCTCCTCACTCCTGCTTTAAGCATGTGATGCAGAATGCTTGTGAGTTCATTTAAGTTCTCCCTGAAAGTGAGAAATTATAGATGAAGTTTTAAAGGTAGCTCAACTATCTGAATACACCTACACTATACCAGTTTGTTTTTATTAGAATAACAAATTCATCTTCAGAGCATTTGCGGGTGGTAATTGTGATGTGGAAGAAAAGGTATTCAGTCATGTTCAAAGCCAACTATCAAAGCACTGCTCCAAGCCATTTCTGTAGTGTTGCTTCTCTTAAGGAAGCCCTAAACACCTGCATCAAACCACATACAAACAAAGTAAGGGAATTTCAAATATTTATTATTTACAAACATACACACATAAATGTTTAAGCTATCGGAAACAAAAATGAACCATTTTTGGAGATCAATTTGACATGACAATAACCATTACTGTTCAGTTCCCACATCACAGAAATACGCAAAATATTTGCAAGTTGCAAAGTTCCTAATCAGTTATAGTTTGACTCATTCACTGAATTTCAAAGGCACCACTAAATATGCAAAGTAAGATGGCACTGATCTCAACACAGCCCATATTGAAACAAACAAGTACCACCTCTTTGCACAAATAAGCTCTCCCTGAAAGTCACTTTCAAATAAAGGTTTTCCTAACTCCTAAAATGAAAAGGTCTCCCTCAGCTCTTTCATCTCACCTACTGTTAAGTGTAACTGTGGTTTATCTAAAGTTCCATAAAGTGTATCTATAGAGAGAAGCAGGGCTGAGTTACATTGTATTGGGTATAATGACACACATTATTTCCCCACCAAGGCTTTCCATGATTTTTAACGTCACAGACTGGGTTCAGTCAGTCAACCGTTAAATTCCCAAAATGTCGCAAATAACATATTCTCTGAGATCATTAAATGCATGTCAGTTTCCATTTTTCATTAAAAGGCACTTCAAAGAGTTGTGCATTGTAAAAGTCAGAATGCTCTTCTTTAGCCAGGGTTTAAATAACTGTGTTTTTATTGACACACTCCCGTAATGCACATCACTGAGTTGTTACAATCAAGCCACTTACCTTCTTAATGCAACAACTCATTTTAAGCCATTTGATGAAATTACAGCACCTCTCCCTAGAATTAGAATACAATCAGCTGATATTAACACATCCGTCAATTTTTTCACACCTCAGGAAATTAAGTAAAAAAAACAGTTTAAACCTGGTCTAGCCTTAACACTAAGAAAGAAAAAAAAAGTCTACCAAAAAGTAAGTTGGTGAATAACAAACACCTCCCATGTCAGTAACAATCATCTATTTAGTCAGGGGAATAAGAGAAATAACCCTTTCCTTAATTACATATTTGTTACTACACTTCACCTTCCAAATTCATCTCTGGCTGATCAGCCTCAACCCAATCACTCTCCAAACCTCCTTACACAACTCACTGATGTATTTCACCCAACACACTGATACCTGCCTTGGCCAGCTAGAACTGCCAAACTCACATCACCAGCTGCCTAAGAGAACAGTTCCCAGGCTCCCCAGTCATCACCAGCCTGATCCATCCTGTCTG